TTTGAACTAATCACTAAAGAAAAATCTATCTAAGTCTCAAATATGGAAAAGAACACTTATCTAAAAACCATTTCCCAAACAATGATGTTGGGAGATGCTCTGTAGCGTCATAGTACACTGATGAACCTTTTGAGCCAGTTTTAGCTAATTTGTCCGCCATACTGTTTACTTCTCGATATACATGTATAATTCTCGAGTTTAATTGAAGTAACAGTCTCTGAATTTCCTTTAGTTGTACCTGATGCTTCCATGGATACCTTTTAGCCTGATGAAGAATAGTGACAATGGATTTGCTATCAGTTTGAACCACCACACGATTTACTCCTGTTTCCAGACAATATCTGAGACCATTGAGGATTCCAGCAATTTCTGCATCTAAACTTGTTGCCATGCCCATATGTCTGCTTTCTGCTTTGATAAATTTACCTTTTTCACCTCTGAGCACATATCCTCATCCTGCTGCTCTAGGTTGTCCTAATGCAGAACCATCAGTATTGAGAACAATTTCTCCCGGGCCCGGTAAAAAAAATTGGTGAAACCGCGAGGAACAAATAAAAAATTTCAAATCCTAAAACAACTGTGGAAGCACCTATGATAATAATCGGTATTCTTAATCCTATAATAGGTAAAATTTTAATCCAATTACGAAATCAAATTATAATGCCGGCTCCTCCTCCTCCTCCACCACTCTCCCACCAACATATCCCTACAACACCTCTTCATTTGCTCCATAATGGGAGTTTGCAACAAATTTTGGGTGATTGATTTGCTGCTCATGTGATCAAAGAAGTAAGAAACAGAAATGAGGGAGTTGGCAATCTTTGGGAAATAACGATGGTTTAAATCTTCATCACTCTCTCATTTTCAGCGATCTAAAACATCAGTAAAAGAAGAAGAAGTAACAAGCGAAGAATTTGGCAGTATTCGGGTGATTGATTTGCTTCTCTCCTAATTAAAGAAGAAGAAGCAAATAAATGCGGGAGTCGGATGCCGGAGGGAAAAAACGCTTCAATTGGCGGAAGGGGGTAACTCATCGTTGTTGCATGTGGGGCATTTAAAAAGGGTCGAACTGTTGAACGCCCTTATTTTTTCATTTGAAGGCCCGCGAAAGACCGAGACGCCCCTGCAAAATGGAGGTAAATATTTTTTTTTTCAAAAAAGGGGGGGAGGGGGCGAAGGAGAAGCGCGCCACCCCTATGGGGGTGGCGTGCAATAAACTTGCCTCCCCGTAAAGGGAGGCGAGACAGCCTTCGCCAATGGCGAAGGCGGTGGCGCCAGATCTGGCGCCACCTTTGCCCGGGTTGGCGAGCAAATGCTCGCCAACCACCCTATTGGTGGCGCCCAAACGGGCGCCACCCATTTTTTTTATTTTTTTTTATTTTTTTATTTCTTAATATATTTTATATTTATGAGTTTAATAATTATTATTATTAGTTTAATAAATTTAATTAATTCATGTATTTATTTTATTTGATTATTTATTTGGTAGTTTAATATTTGTTCAGAAAATTAGGGTTTATGCTAAATAGGTTTATGATATTTAGAGAATGTTTTTTAATTACGTATACTGTTATATTAACTGAGTTAATGGGTATAGCTGTTAGGGATTAGGATTTTTGTTAAAATAATGAGTTTTTATTAATAATATTTTTAATTTGTTATTAGTATATATTAATTATCTTTAAAGTATAAGATCATTATATCGGATTATATAACAATGTTAGAGTTAATTTAAGTTATGATATAATTTGTTTTTAATGTGTGCAGGATAGGTTTGATCAGGGGGATGGAATCGATTATAGTCCGGCTTTTGCTACAGACGAGACTTTTACGACCAAGAAGGAAGCTGCCGCATATGCGAAGGGTATTGCGAACTTCTACAATATGGAGTTAAGTGTATCCTCGCACAAGGATAATACCACTATACTCCTTTGTCATAAAGGAGGGCAGTACCAAGGTCAACAGGTAGATGAAAACGTGCCCGTGCGAGCCAATACAAAGACACAAATGACCGGATGCCAGTTTCGTGTTACTATTTACAAGACATATGATAGGTGGGCGATCCGTGTATATCCAGGTCCGTTGGGAATGCACAACCATTCATTGAAAGATCCACCTCGAGTCAGGAGGCCATTGAGTGAAGAAGTAAAAGAGCTTATTAAGGAGTACTCCAAAGCTGGGACTAAGGCAGTCCACATTTTACGGGCGATATGGACACAATTTCCCGATGAAAAGGTAACCTCCAAACAAGTCTACAACTACAGAAATTTTTTGCGTAAGGCGGGGTTTCCAATTCTAGATGACCTGTCTGCCATGGACGTAGTGGGAAAGGTGTTAGAGGTTGCAGAACAACACAAATACATCATCTTCACGGAGTGCGATGAAGAGACACAGAGGTTATCCCACGTGTTTTTCGCACATCCGGATTCTTTGTTGCTGTTGCGGACGTATCCTTGGGTGGTTTGTGTAGATTCCACATACAACACAAACAAATATAAACTGCCTCTTGTGGAGTTTGCTGGAATGACCCCTTGCAATCAGACATTCATTATAGCATATGCTATTCTGAGTGATGAGACGGGAGACAGCTACCATTGGGCGCTGTGGCAGCTCCGTAACTTGTATGGCGAAGATCTGCATCCGAGTGTCATCGTGACTGATCGGGAGCCTGGACTGATGAGGCCTCTTGATGATGTATTTCCATCCTCACATCACTTGTTGTGTATGTGGCATGTTTACAGGGATGTTGAAAGAAATGTGAAAAGAATATTGAGTGGAAATGCCCATGTAGCAAAAAGCTTCGCATATAATGCCTTCAAAGCAGTGATCGAAGCTGCAAATTGGGAAGTATACGAAGAAAAAGTACAGTTTCTGGAGCATAATTGGTCTCAATTTTAGCCCGTTCTAGAGTATGTTAGGAAGACATGGTTAGTGGTGGCGCACAAGTTTGTACATGCATGGACCAACACTTATTTGCATTTTGGCAACACCACTACTTGTAGAGTGGAGAGCGCACACAAGTTGTTAAAGGAATGGCTCTGCATTCCAAATGCTTCTTTTGAAACGGTGTGGCACAGGGTTCACATGTTACTGGAGACACAGCTTACGCAAATAAGGTATTGGATTTTGATCCCCTTTTTAGTTAATTTGTGTATTTAGGTTGTTTAATTAATTTGTTAGAATTCCTCCACAGGGAGAAATTGCAAGAATCAAGGCAGAAAATAATGAGGCAACACAACAAGTACCCTTTCTACCAATTAAGATGCAATGTTTCACACCACTGCTTGGATCTATTGAACAATGAGTTGGAAAGGATGCAACAACTCGGAGATGATGTGTATTGGGAATGCAATCATTACCTGAAACAAACTCATTCCCTCCCTTGTGCATGTATACTTAAGCGTATAATGGAGGCCAGCGAGATTTTGACTCCAAAATACTTACACCAATTTTGGAGCACACTTGACATCGGTGAGGTTACAGAGAAGGATGGTTCGGATGATGTTCCCCCTCACAGATTGTTGTTCAGGCAGTTAGTGGAAGAATTGGACGCTGCTGAGGAGCCAATACAGCGCGAGATCACCAGATTGATGTACAACAAACTTCACCCAGGCCAAGCCGGATTAAATGAACCGCGGGTTGGAAAGAGAGGCAAGGGCAGGCCGAAGAAGAGGGGCATCTCTAAAAAAAAGCAAGACAAACCAAATGTGTGGGCATACAGGGACGGCAATCAGGGTGGCACCAATACCAGCGGTTCCAGTAAAGCAGGTACGAGCCAAGGTACCTCGAGTAAAGGTGGGACGAACACCCACAGTTCCAGTAGAGGCCATACATCGGGAGCTGAAGATCAGAGCAGAGGTCCGATATTACTTTCTCTTTTTAAATGTGCGAAATATTATTTTACTTGGTTTACTGGAAGCACTTTTGTTACTGACCCATGCGAGAGCAGGTACATAGACTGGGCAAGGTGAGACGAACACCAGCAGTTCCAGTAGAGGCCACAGGTCGGGTTCCGAACCCCATGCCGGAGGTACGTTTATAATTTATTTTGTTCTTAAATACTGATATGTAATTCAGAAATAATGATAATATTTTACGTGGTTAAAGATGTGATGCAGACAGACTTTTTCCAGTTTAGGCACAAGAATAAGATACCGCAAGTACTCCACAATCATGTTGTGTCATATCTTGATGTCGAGGCTGACGGCAATTGTGGTTTCCGCGTCTTTGCGAGTTGCATGTTGGGAGGGCAGGATAATCAAATTTTGTGCAGACAGATATGTTATGATGAGGTTATAAATAACCCTGGCCTGTACGGGAACTTTTACGGGTATGAAGCCAGTTTAATTTTGGTGATCGGTTTTCATACAGTTGCATCAATGTTATTTTATTTAAAACCTTCATTTACTTGTCTTTGTAGGTGGGAAAATTTACCTGCAAGCCTAGAGCGTATACGGTAGACTGGTACCTCCGCAGGTCACTGGATGTCGACAGAGGACTTTTATCCCCTTGCTACATATTTCAATGATGTTGTGTACTACTTCAGAACCAACGGTGCTGCAAATCTAAACGGCACATGTTGCACTGTGCTACCACTGAGCGCACGGGGCGGGGCAACAAGGCCAGAGTTCCAGATAGTTATTTGCCACCTTGAGCCTTACCCGCACTTCATTCGACTCAATCTGCAGGGTGATTTTCCGATTCCCCCCATTCACCCCAGTTGGAGGCATGATCGTGATAGTAGTGTTATTGATTTGGAAGAACCTTTTGAACCCAGACTGCAGCTATGGCGTACTTTGGTACCTCAGATAAGACCCACACGGGAATATAGTGATCTCGGGTGATATGTTGTGTATATATATATATATTTTTTTTTTTATGAAATTGGTGATATTTTAATGTAAATTAAAATGTAAATTGCAAATCGACATAAGTACATATTGTTCAGAATAACAGAATCAGTACATAATTGTTTAAAGGAAAAAGCACTGAGTAGAATGTCATGGGGCCTGACTGTACAGGAAGATGACATCATCCAGGCGAGTATCACACTCCTCACCAAGACCCAAATCGAGTTTCTTCAAATCGTCGATGCAACCTCGAGTCAACTTCTCCATCTCACGCATCCACTACAAATGTTAAATAAAACCATATTAATCCCTTAAAGATAGTACGTGTGTTATTAAACAAAGGGTATTCCAGTTAGAGTTGAACTTACGTAAGTGGTGCTGTTCTTCCCTGGGATGCGTGATGTAGACGGTACGGACTCCGGCAGTAGAAATGGATGTGAATGGCTCCTGTACCAGTCGAGGTAATCTACAGCTGCCTGTCCTACCTCAGTGGACGATACCGGCACACAATGACTGAGGTTGATGCACTCCGAATCCGGAAATCTAACCCAACAGTTACATGTCTCGGCAATAGGACGATCAACTAAATACTTGTGCGCATTTTTCCCGCGAAACTGAGTTACCGGCCTGAGCGGCGCACGAGGAATGAACTGCACGTAACCGAGCTGGCGTATCACTCTCTCCGGCATGTATGGCTCCTGGAAGTCGTGGTACATAATCCACCCACTGAAGATGGTCCTCGGATATACTGCCGCCTGTTCGCGACCAAATGGCTCCCATTCGACCTGCGACCGTTACCAACATTTATTATAGTGTACACAATGAACTACCCCTTACGCAATACACAGAATTAAATATAAAGTGTACCTCTTGCTCAGTCATCGCGTCGAGCTGCGTACGAATCTGCTGGAGACGACTATGAATAGGCTTCAGGCCCTTATAGCTAACTGGTGTCCAGTCTCGGGCTCTGGGCCAACCATCAACACCTCGACGTCCTCGCCTCTTGGAGGGATGGAAGCATGGAAAATACTCATATATCCATGCTTGGAGAAGGGTCATACAACCAGCCATCGTGGTACACCCTGCTCGACTTGCAATACCAAGCTGACGGTAGAGGAATGCTAGTGTACCGGATCCCCAGGAGTACTCTCCAATATTGTCAATACCTCCGTGTAGCTTAGTCATAAGCGAAGCACTGATCCTGCCCCCACTCCTGTCAAGGAAGAGTGTCGAGGCTAACAAGATCCACACCCAAGCTTGCACCTGAACAGCGGGGAGGACCCTGCGACAACACTCCTCAATCAATATGTCGCTCACACCTCTGTGGCTCCATGCACGCTTTAACTCAGCCAACGGCATCCCAAGCAAACCCGCGACCTGCATCTTCAAAACCTCAGCTTCCGCAGGTTGGGTCAACAAGTAACCATCAAGTGGAATCGCCAAAATGTGTGCCACATCATGCATCATAATGGTCATCTCCCCAAACGGAAAGTGGAAAGAGTTTGTGTCGGGCTGCCACCTCTCTATGAATGCAGAAATAAGCGCAAGGTCAATATCATCATACATGGTATCAATCAGATGATACAAATCGGTATTCTGAATCTGCATCTGTGCGTTCTCCGGCAACCTTGCATACCATCCATGCAATCTAGACAAACTCTTCTTCGTTGGCTTCATCGTCAGGTAATCTCTTGGTTCTCCATTCCACAACTGATAAGCAGCGTGGCCAAGAAAACTAGGAATCACTGACCCATCACATGGCCCGCCAGGTACGTCGTCTGTCACAACCCAATCATTAGTTTCTTCGGTAGAAACCTTAGACCTTCTGCTAGTACCTGCAACCCGAATAAAGAATAGTGTATAAATACTTAATCGAATGCAATTAAGAAATTGACCAAGCAGTAATGAATGCTGAAATTGTTACAAATACGTACCTGATGACGATGCAGCTGCCTCAGGACGGATAGAGGCACCAATGGATGCGCCACCAATACGGGAACGAGGCTGAGTAGTCAGAGGGGGACCTCTAAAAAGAGTACTCTACGGGCCTGCATGCTGAAGAGTAGTACTCTGACCTCTAAAAAGAGTACTCTGCGCCCCTGCATGCTGAGGAGTAGTACTCTGACCTCTAGAAAGAGTACTCTGTGGGCCGACACGAACACTGGAACCACCAGGAGTGTAAGCTGAATTCAAGGTTGATAATCCCACAAGGGACTTCCCCGGGTAGGGTGAACTGGAGTCTGATCAACAGTACGACCAATGGGGTTCAGTACTGAGTTATCTGCAATATGTATATCCCTCCTCTCATGCAAGGAATACTCGGATGTGTCATCCTCCTCATCCACATCGTCCCCCCCACTCTCAAAACTATCCTCTGATGATTCCTCTCCCTCAAAATCATCATCATCATCATCATCATCATCGTTTACGTTAGCTGACTCACCAAGTGGGCCAAACGTAGGATATACATTTTTCACTTTCTTTAATTTTTTTTCTTTTTCTGCTCAATGTTCGGCATACAGATTGCGCGTAACTGCATGCTGATGTCCAGATCCCTCAAGAGGCGATATCCCATCCTACAAAAGTTTCAAATTTTACACGTTACTTAGATTAATTAGTTTAATACAGTTTTATATTATTTAAATACGTAATTATAAACTTATCTACTATACATCTTAAGTGTACAATTTATTAAATCTACTAAGTACAATTAATAATATCTACATATTTATTTTTTCATTTTTTAACCAAAATTAAATAAATATATAATTTATTATTTAATTTTAACCACAATTAAATAAATATTTTTTATTAACCCTAATTATCTACTAACCTCCTGTATTTTTAAAATTTGAACTTATTTATTTAATTTTCCTATACTAAGTATTTAATTTCTACGTTTGATATTTTTTTTAGGTTAATTACAATTAAACCGACTAATCCAATAAATATATTTTCTATAATTATATTTATAATAACTTTCATAATGATCCAATTTAATTTAAAAATCGTTAAACTCCCTAAAACTACAAAAGTATTATAACTAATTTATTTACAGAAGATTAAACATATACTTTTAATAATAGTGTTTCCTAAATAAATTAAACTAATAAAAATAACTAATAAATTTAACTAATAATAAATAATTTAACTAAATTTCATAAGACCTATAATTAATAATAGTAACACTTAAATTACAATTACTATACAATTTATAAATAGCAATTAAATTTAAATATATAATATAACAAATTAACAAAAAAAAAAAAAAAAACCGGCCGGCACCGGTTTTTCTCGCCAGGCGCAAGCCGCCTGGCGAGACTTTTCTTCGCCACCCCAGCGTCCGACGGCGAAGAAAATTGCGCCACCAGCGCCCCGGCCGGCGAGGGAGAACCGCGCCGGGGCGTGCAGAGCTGGCGCGCAGATCTGCGCCAGCTCTGTAAAGAGTGGCGCAGATTTCTGCGCCACTCCTTCACGCCCCGGCGCGGTTCTCCTTTGCCGGCCAGGGCGCTGGTGTTTTTTTTTTTTTTTTATAAATACTCCTACTAATTCAAATTCAAAAAAACAATCCAAATTTACGTACCTTCAGTTTCCGTAGCTCTTTACGTAGCCGTTTCATTCGATCAACCATTGAATCTAAGTTTTTAGGAGTTTGGATTGAGAGAATTTGAAATGAAAGATTGATTTAGGAATTGAAAGAATGAAATTGAAACTCTTAATTTATAAAATCATGTAAGGGCAAAATGGTCATTTGGTATTTAATTAGGGCGCTCAAGGGAAATTTTTAGGGCGTTTAGTAGCCTCCCAGTTTAAAAAAAGTAATTAAAAAAATGCCAGATCAAAAGGATATCGTTTTGGTAGTCAGGGATTTTTCACAAAAAATTGAAAAAACTGGGAAAAAAATTATTTTAAAATTACCAATATAACCCCACTTAAGTCGCGGTGAAATTGATTTAATTGAAACTTATCAACAGACGAGATCTCAATGAGGATGCATATTTTCATGTAATATTTTTCAGTTAATATCTTTGTTCTAGAGACAAGTATATATGCCCTAAATTTTCTTTTCTCTTTCTAAAATTTTTTTCTCCTCCTTCTCACTAAAAACCCTAAAGAAAAAAGCTAACGGCTAGTCTTTTAGCCACCGGCCATGGGTGGCCGGCAATCACTCAACAAATCGCAATAGCTCGAACAGAACTTTTTTAAGCCTATTCGCCCCTCCAACTGCTCATGGTGATGAAGCTGTGGAGTTAAACAAGCAATTCAAGGCCACTGTTTCAACTATCATTAATTGCAAGCAAGTTACTTTCTTCAATGGCCAGCCAAAACTAGAGTATAATGCTGATGAATTTTGAGGAGTTAATTGCTCCTCATATGAAGAGTTTAGTCGCGAAGTTCTCCTATGGCCGTCCCTCAATGGTAGTGGTTCGTGAAGATTTCAAAAAAATCGGTTTTAAGGGTTTGTACTTCCTAGGGCTTATGAATCCACGCCATATTTTGATCCGGTTTGAATTGGAAGAAGATTATCGGAGATGCTAGATGACATCGCTTTGGCACATTGGGAGTATCAAATGAGAATTCTTAAATGGTAGCCAAGCTTTAATGAGGAGGACCCCCCGATTGTTCCGGTTTGGGTATCTCTCCATGAATTCCCCTTTGAATGGACTCACCCTAAGGTTCTGTTTTCAATCGCATCCGCAATAGGGAAACCATTACAAGTCGACGCGCCTACACTCAATTTGTCCAGCATCAGTGACTCGTTTTTGTGTGGAAGCTGATTTAACAAAGGAGCTACCGAAATCTATCAATATTAGAAAAAAAGGACGTGGTTCAAACAGTTTTATACTTATGATTATGTTCCTTCGTATTGTTCAAATTCCTGTAAAATTGGCCATAAACCGGAGGAATGTAGAAAAGGCAAGCAGTCCAAAGTTCATTCTGATCGAATTGTCAAAGATGGCAAAGAGAAAGTTGTCCAATCAAAAGAAGTTAATAAGCAGCCACAATCGAAGGTCAACAAACAAGCGAGACTAAAATTTTTGATCCCGAAGCCAGTTCCGAAATGGAAGCCAAAAGCTGCCTTGAAGCAGAATGTTAATTAGAAAGAAAATGATACAAGGAAAGAATCTGTTTCCGGTTTAACGCTTAGAGAAAAAGAATCGGTTCCAACTGATATTCAAAACAGTCAGGTTGTTCATCTTTTGGAGCAGAATCTTTCGAAGGACAATGCAGCTTCTAAAATTTGTATACCAAGGTTGAAATAGAAGATGATCAGGGGGTCGAAAACAGGCCTATTGGGGAAGTAAGTAACAGTCAAAAGGTGGCTAATATAGGTTCTGAATTTTGTGATGATTCAACAAATACTAGTGAACTTCAATTTCCATATCAAGGCATTACCATTGAAGAAAGAAATACAGAAGCAGCGCCCGAAATTCTATCCCCGCAACATCTTGTAAGGCATTATCATATGGATGATAGCCAAATTGGTCGAAGCATATTTTCTGTTGATGAAGATATTGCGGAAAAAAGCCATTGGTCTGACGGAGAGAATGATGATGCTCAACTCAAGCTTGATGATGGATTCACCACGGTGCAAAGAAAAAGGGGAAGAAAAACGAAAGAGGAAAGGCAAATTGCACAGAAAGGTTTTGTGCTACGATGCTCTTCCAGCTTTCAATAATTTCAGTTTTCATCTCTCAATAATTTTTTTTCTTATGATGATCAATCAAATAATTTGGAATGTCCGTGGAATAAAGAATAAAGCTTCACACTGATGATTAAAGACGATCATAAAAATGCACAAGGTTGCGTTAGTTTTCTTGTTGGAACCTATGCTTCCTAACCATAAGCTTGACGAAATCTGGTGAGAGCTAGGTTTTGATGCTTGCTTTGCATCTTCCTCTGGCAAAATATGGGTATTCTCAAGAACTGAATTTGCTTTGAAGGTTATTGGAGGACTCAAGAACTGAATTTGCTTTGAAGGTTATTGGAGGAACAGATCAATCTCTGCATTTGGAAGTTGTCCATATAGCTTCAAGTTCTAGGTTTATAATGTCGGCCGTTTATGCCAAATCTACGAGGCTCGGAAGACTGGAGCTTTGGCAGGATCTAATATCTTTCAGAAATCAATACTCGGGGCAACCCTGGTTAGTTGGTGGGGATTTTAACGTTATTAGATCTTTGGAAGAATATTCGGGGGATTCGGTACAAAATCATCAAGCAATCGAAGATTTCAACAAATGTATTGAATACTGTGGTCTCACAGAACTTAATACTGTGGGTGACGACTTCACATGGGGAGGAATGCGAGCTACTGGATGGGTCGGCAAGTAATTGGACCGCATATTATTCTCACCAGAATGGTTAAGTCTCTTTACAGTTGCATCAGTCGAGCATTTGAGCAAGACAACCTCTAATCACTGCCCATTACTGTATCAATGTAGCCAGAATTTACATCAAAGTCCGAGACCTTTCAGATTTCAAAAAATGTGGACTAGACGGCCTGAATTTTTGGATATTGTTAGAGATAATTGGAACGAGCCTATGGATGCATACGGTATGAGGCGATTCTCTTTAAAATTAAGAAGGCTAAAGGCAAAGCTGCGGGAGTGGAATAAACAAGTCTTTGGTAACGTTTTCGAAAATTTGAAGCAAGCGAAAGATGAAGTCAGAGCCTTAGAAATCAGATTTGATGAAACCAGGGATGAAAATGATCTTATCAATCTAAACAGATCAAAGGCGCATCTTCTAGCAAAGTTAAAAGAGCACGATGACTTTTGGCAACAAGAAAATGAAATGGTTTAAGGAGGGTGACGCTAACACTCCCTTTTTCCATGCCTCTCTAGTTGAACAGAAAGCAAGACTCGGAATATACAAGATTCAATTTGAAGATGGTCGTTGCCTAACTGATCGAGTGGAACTAGAAGATCAAGCAGTCTCTGTTTTCAGGGAGTTACTCACAGAGGAAGATGGTGTCAACTGGTTGGACGCACAAGAAGAATTTTTACGGCATATCCCTTTTGTTTTGAATGATGAAGATCACGTAGCATTAGCTAGAGCAGTCTCAGCTGAAGAAGTTAAAGCAGCGCTGGAAAGTTTAGATGATGAGAGCACACCGGGAACGGATGGGTTTTGGAGGTTCATTTTGTATAAGCTGCTGGATTATAATCAAGGAGGATCTTTTGAAGGCGTGTGAGGAGTTCATGATTGGCGTTCCTATACCGAGGGCAATAGCAAGCACATTGGAGGTTTTAATTCCAAAAAAGGCTTCCATTTTAACTTTCTCGGATGTAAGGCCGATTAGTCTTTGCAACTTTGTGAATAAAATCTTCACAAAGATACTCACTGAAAGGCTCAAACCTCTGCTCCCCAAACTTATATCGGATGAGTAAGCAGCGTTTCTAGCAGGAAGAGATATCACGGATAACACAGTTCTAGCTCAAGACTTATGCCATTTTTTGGGATACAAGTCACAGGGAAACAATGTAATTCTCAAGGTGGAAGTGATGAACGCGTTCGATAGGGTATCCTAGGATTTTTTATTTAAAATTCTCCAAAAATTTGGATTTTCGGCTA